AACAGCAGAAGAAACAGCAGAAGAAGAAGAAGCAGCAGAAGAAACAGCAGAAGAAGGAGCAGCAGAAGAAGAAAAAGCAGCAGAAGAAGCATCAGAAACAGAAGAAGACGCAGACGAAGAAACAGCATCAACAGAAGAAGCAGCAGCAGCAGAAGAAACATCAGAAGAAGCATCAGCAGCCGTAGAAAAAAAGCAGCAGCAGAAGAAGCAGTAGTATCAGCAGATGAAGCAGCAGCAGAAGAAACATCAGAAGAAGCATCAGCAGCCGCAGTAAAAGAAGGAGAGAGAGAAGCATCAGCAGCAGAAGAGTCGGTGGTGGATCTGGCTGTATTCCCAGAAGTCAGTGCATATTGTTGGCTGTACAAAAAACACAGTTAGAGCAAAAAAAAAGCAGTTCTTTTTTGGACATTTTGCCAAAAAGTGGAACAAGGATCTCATCATCTGAAGTGGAGTGTCTGGTCTCATTTCAGCTTTGAATGTCACAGCTAATTTGGGTTTAAGAAAATGCAGTGGAGTGGATTTTTTTTTTTTTTGGAAACAAAAGCCAAAAGCTATTTCAAATTTGACAAGACACATTGGCCTTTTGATAAAGTAAAAACTGAACAACTCAAAGCACAAAATGCAATGGTTTTGTACAGCGCTGTTTTACACACTCAAAGACCCTTCACATTTCATTATTCATTCACTTTATACACAGTGGTGATAAACTACTATAGCCAGAGCTGCCCTGGGGCACACTGAGGGAAGCGAGACAACCAGTCTGTGCCATTGGCCCCTCCCACCACCACCCAGCTTTCACACACACACACCAGACTCATTCTAATGTGGGGGAAGTGTCTTGCCTAAGGACACAACCACAGTTTAAAATCCCACAGTAGCACCTGGTGTTCCCAGAGGCCTCCCATCACAGTACTCACCAGGCCCTGCCCTGCTTAGCTTCAGAGGTCAGACAGAATCGATTTTATGCTCAATGTTCCAGCCAAACATGAAGGTGATAATTAATATGGAATTAGCTGGGACTCTTAGGAGCACAGGGACTGGCCTCCTGCCGGGACTCTGAGGAGCACAGGGACTGGCCTCCTGCTGGGACTCTGAGGAGCACAGGGACTGGCCTCCTGCTGGGACTCTGAGGAGCACAGGGACTGGCCTCATCCTGGTCCCAGAGTCAGGACTAAACATGAGGAGGCAGCCTTTCAGATTTACGTCGCTAAAATCGGGAACAGTCTTTGTGAAAATGTCAGACAGGCTTCTTCTTCTGTGACAATTTTCAGATCCAGGTAAAATAACCGTGTATCCGTGCTAAACTGAGACATTTTATATTTTTATCTTTCCTTTTAACACCTTTTTGACCGTTACTACCTTGTTTTGTTCCGGACATGCCTTGTGTATGAATTGTGCCGTACAAATAAAATTGCCTGAATATGGTTGTTGAATAAAAAACAACTCCTTGTCGGTAAAACAAGCAACGCTGGAAGCTAAGCCACAATCCGTCTGTCTAATAGTTCTTACTTTGTCGCCGTAAAAATGAAATACTGACGCCTCGGTCTCGTTCCGCTCGCCCACCACCGGCACTTAACGAGTCGCGGGTGACAGAGAAAGTGTGTGACATCACAGGAGGTGCAACAGTCGGTGACATGTGACGAGTGTGTATATGTGTGTGTATATGTGTGTGTGTGTGTGTGTGTGTGTGAGAGTATGTGTACTGTATGTGTGTGTGTGGGTATATGTGTGTGTGTGTGTATGAGAGTATGTGTACTGTATGTGTGTGTGTGTATCTGTATGTGTATGTGTGTGTATGTGTGGGTGTGTGTGAGAGAGTATGTGTACTGTATGTGTGTGTGTATATGTGTGTGTGAGAGTATGTGTACTGTATGTGTGTGTGTGTATCTGTATGTGTATGTGTGGGTATATGTGTGTGTGTGTGTGTGTGTGAGAGTATGTGTACTGTATGTGTGTGTGTGTGTATCTGTATGTGTATGTGTGTGGTGGTTATGTATGTGTGTGTGTGTGTGTGTGAGAGTATGTGTACTGTATGTGTGTGTGTGTGTGTGTGTATGTGATGTGTGTGTGTGTGTATGTGTATGTGTGGTACTGTATGTGTGTGTTGTGTGTTGTGTGTGTGTGTGTGTGTGTGTATATGTGTGTGTGAGAGTATGTGTACTGTATGTGTGTGTGTGTATCTGTATGTGTATGTGTGTGTATATGTGTGGGTATATGTGTGTGTGTGTGAGAGTATGTGTACTGTATGTGTGTGTGTGTGTAGGTGTATGTGTGTACGTGTGTGTGTATGTGTATCTGTATGTGTGTGTGTATAAGTATGTGTATGTGCGTGTGTGTGTGTGTATGTGTATGTGTATGTGTGTGTAAGTGTGTGTGTGTGTTTTATGGTTAAAAAGCCGGTGATAGAAGTGAGAACGTGTGTTGCAGGTTCGGCTGTGGGAGAGAGAAGAGAATTCACGATCTGTAAGTGTGGGATTCCTTCAGGCGTTAAAAGAGTCACGCCAAAAACAACAACGCTAACGCTATCTAAAGCTAAACACGTTGCCGTAAATAACACATATTATTTGTGTCTTGTAGAAGTAACAAAACAGACCACAACACGACATCTTCATCGCGTTAGAAATCTCTGTAATTGACTCTTTAGACCATTTCACTTTTAGCTTTTAGCATTAGCACAATTTAGCACAATTATGAAGCTACAAGAACTCCCTTCACCAGATTTATTTATTTATTCATATTTTTTAACCATTTCTCTCTTTTACTAAGCTCTAAAGCAGTTTGTCGTAAGACCGAACACTAACGGCTAACAGCTAACGGTAAACAGTGTGTTGCCAGTGTTGCTAGTAGTAACCGGCAGCCGCTCCAGAATCACTCGTTTCAAAACTAACAATTTCTTTATTTTTATCAAACATTGTCATCAAATGTCACTACACAGAATGTTTTAACACAACATTGAAGAACAATTATTTATTATTAGATTGTGCGTGATTCGAACTTGAAAAGGAGCAGGAAGAAGAAAGAAAATGTTGATTCTCTCGCCTGTGATTATCTTATTTACATCCGTGGAGTTTGGAGCCAGAAGCAGAGCAGTTCTAAAGCCACCGAGCCGTCAAATTGACTGCTGTGGGAGTTCTAGTGTTAAAGTAGTTCTTCTTTGTGAAAAAAAAAGTACAATAAAGGGTTGCTTTCTTTTTTTTTTATGACTGAGATATTTATTGTGTTTTATCATGGGGGGGGAAAGGGAGGGGATCGGGGATAAAAAAAAAAAAAGAAAAAATAGATATAAAAATAAAAATACAATAATAATAAAAAATAATAATAAAAATAAATATATATAAAAAAAATAAATAAAATAAATAAATAATAAGATAACAAAGAGCAAAGAGCAAAGGAAAAATAAAATAAAAATAAAATAAACTAAGATAAAAAGTAAAAAATAAACATATGTAAACCCATATACATACATACAGGTGACAATGAGAATACATACATATCACACTCGAAGATTTAGACATATATTCACAAAAAATAAAAAAAATAAAGGGTTGCTTTCAATGTCAACGCGCCTGGATTGGCCACACTTTGCTGCCTTTGGTTTCGTGCGACATCACCTCCTTATTCTCTGCTATATTTAAACACATATTAGTGTCACCGAGTGTTCCCAAAGTCGACACGAACACGACTCATTTAGAAACTTATGCAAAACACTTTTCTAAATTATCCCAGCTTCCCATGTTTCCACGATACAACCCCATTCTTCCGGTTGCCAGGACGACTTCACGCAACAATCTGAAACGCAGGTACAATTAAACGGTAAAATGAAGTGGAGCTAAGCGGATTTTTCTTTTCGCTCTTTGCTCACTCGCTTTTCACTGTTAGCGTTAGCCGGAGTACTACTGTAATACTCCTGCCCCGTGTCGCAAAGATTATATGAAAGGTTTTGATGGGGGGGAGGGGGAGGGGGGGAGGGGGGGTGTATGTAATATACACCACATATATTGTGGTGTATATTGTACACCACAATATATGTATAATTTATAACATTTTTGACTTGATCCCTTGTAATAAACGCAGGTAAAGTGGGTATTGGAGATTGCATTTGGAATCATTTACCACTAAGACTCCCAGGTTGCTGTGGTTACTAGAACTCCAAGAGCCGTCATTTTGACTGCTCCCATTCAAACCAATGGAATTTTGATAATTCCCCAAGAAAATATTTGTTTATTATCAGATTTATCAAAAAAATATTTATCAAGGTATTTACCCGTACTCACTGAAAAGCCTTTAAGACAGTAACATATCATTGTCTAAGCTGAGTGTGTGTCTACGAGCATATGTGTGTGTCTGTGAGCGTGTGTGTCTGTGAGCGTGTGTGTCTACGAGCGTGTGTGTCTGCGAGCGTGTGTGTCTACGAGCGTGTGTGTCTACGAGCGTGTGTGTCTGTGAGCGTGTGTGTCTACGAGCGTGTGTGTCTGTGAGCGTGTGTGTCTGTGAGCGTGTGTGTCTGTGAGCGTGTGTGTCTACGAGCGTGTGTGTCTACGAGCGTGTGTGTCTACAAGCGTGTGTGTCTGCGAGCGTGTGTGTCTACGAGCGTGTGTGTCTACAAGCGTGTGTGTCTACAAGCGTGTGTGTCTGTGAGCGTGTGTGTCTACGAGCGTGTGTGTGTCTGCGAGCGTATGCATTTGTGTGTCTGCGTGCGTGTGTGTGTCTGCAAGCATGTGTGTGTCTGCAAGCGTGTGTGTGTCTGCGAGCGTGTGTCTGTGAGCGTGTGTGTGTCTACGAATGTGTGTGTGTGTGTGTGTCAGCCAGCGTGTGTCTGTGAGCGTGTGTGTGTCTGCAAAAGTGTGTTTGTGTGTCTACGAGTGTGGGTGTGTGTCTGCGAACGTGTGCGTGTGTACATGCCTGTGTGTGCCCATGTGTGTGCGTCTCTGTATGTGTGTGTGTATGTATATATTGTCTCACTTGACCAGTGGCCTTACCATCGTACCCTGATCTGTGTCATGTCAACCAGTTTGGCCCGGCCTCCACGGGGCGCCAGGTGCTAATCTCCGGTTCAGATTTAAGCCTAATGGAGAATAATACATCATCGGGAGACTTCCTGTGAGCTCCTCGTACGACACATTCTTATTGGACCCTGACCTCTGATCTCCATACGGGAGAGATAGAAGAGGTGCGTGCTGGGTCCGCCTCGTGGTGACGCAAAGGCTGCTGGGTAACTGCTTCCTTGACATTGGTTCATTGAAGATTGCACGGCTGTCTCACCTGCGAGATGCATTTATGATTGCCCGTATGGATTTTCAATGAGGAAATTGCACGGCCATCAAGTTCAATTAGATGCACAAGGTTAGACGTCTTTACTGGAGTGTGTTGACGTTAGCGGGTTGTGTTATCGTGTTTATAACGGAGGTCGGAACATGCCCCAGTTTCACAGAATACACACATTGTAACTATTTTATTTAACAGTGAGGTTTCTCTGAAGGCAGTTCAAGCCACAAATTTTATTATACATTAATTCACTTTTTGTGGATTAATTTGATCTGTTTTTAAAAATTAATCTGTCACATGACCAGTCACACCTTTGTCCAATTCTGATTTATTGTTTTATTTATTATTATAATTTTTTTTTTCATTGTATTTTTGGTTGGGACAGTACATGTTCATGAACACATCACTCCGGATTGTAGCCATTCATTGTTAATGTCCATCCGTTGTCCCACATTCGCACTCACAAACACACACCTACACAGACATGGGGAGAACATGCAAACTCCACTCAGAAAGGCCCTGTTCCGACCGTGATTCAAACCCATTATTATTCTCTTGTATTACTTATGTCTTGTTTTATAATTGCTAATGTTTTTAAAAAGCAACCTTGTCCTTGGGTGTTTTATAAGGCACTTTTAAATGAAATCTATTTTTATTATTATTGTGGCGACAGTGGCTCAGTTGGTAGAGCATTGGCCTTTGAGCCTGAAGGTTGTGGGTTCGAGCCCACCGCAAGACCTACTTTACCCCTCCCACTGATCATCGCTGTCGTTGTGTCCTTGGGTAAAGACATTGATTTCATAACACTTTGAAGCAACTTTTGTTATGGTTAAACTCATCATTCTACCAATGTGCAGAAGCCTGTACTTTTCCACTTCATGTTTTGACTGTCTCTGCCGGCACTGTGGCAGCTGCTGATTGGAGGTCTCTGTTTCTCCTGACTATATTACCAGTTGCTGTCTTTAACGTCTTTGTTTATGCTGTCTCTACCATCGACAATAAAACATGTCTTCTGTCTGAATTAAAGACACGATCCCAGACTATGTCATCTTCTTCAGACACTTAACCCCACTTTGCCTGATGCCCCGCTGAAAGATCAAGACTCCTGAAGAAATGGATTAAGAGGAAGAAAATGGATGGATGGATATTATTATTATTATTATTATTGCTACATATGACAGTAAAAAGCAGTCCTGCAATCAGCTTTTGTCATGTGCACTTCCATCCCGACAGAGAACAGAATCTAAAAAGGCCGGATCCTCCATTTTGCAGATGTCATTTCCCGCAGCTTGACTCGGACTCGCTGGAGGACGGACAGTGTGTACCCTTTGGTCCTGGCAGAGTGGTGCACTTTTGTGACTTTTGGCAGGGTGCACTTTTGTGTTGACGCTCTGAATGTGCACTGTAAAAAGTGTTGCTTTAATCATAAACCAAAAAAATACCGTAAGAGGTTGCATCAGCCTTTTTGAGTCCTATCAACTTCAGCTCTTTTTTGAGTGATAAAGAATATTTAATTCAATTTGACAGAATGCAAAACTATTACTTTGAAGTGATTGATTTACTTAAAATGTGTGTTTCATTTCAAAAGCAAAACTAGGAGATGATCAATTTACTCAATATTTTTGTGTTCATTCAAAATTTGTTAGATATGAAGCAAGTATGATGACCATTTTATAGTATTTAAGGTTGCTAAAAATAAATACAATTTCTTATTTGATCAAATTAGTTTATTCAAAATGTTGCTCAAGTATTTTGCTTTAGGACTTGCTTCATATTCACTCTTAAAATTAATGCTCAAATATAGAATTTTTAAGAAGTTTATATTTTACTCTGCAATGCATTCTGGGTAGCATCACTGCTTCGCCACATTTTGTTTTCAATCAACACAATATATGGACCACAGGCTTACAAAATAAATATTTAAAGTATCTTCAAAATTAGTATTGTACAGGGTGCTATAATAATATTTTACAGTACCAAAAATATTGTGGAAAATGAAGTACATGTAGTAATTACTTAAAATATTTTACCTCAAAGTTTGGTCTGATTGAAACATAACGACACCGAGGTTAAAGAAGACATGTTATGCATTGTTTTTGGCCATTTGGAGAGATGGAGCGGCTGTTTATTTTGGAATTTCCTGCTTTAGAATGTGGCAATATAAAGGGACCCGAGAGAGCGACCAGAGAGAGAGAGAAAGACCACAGAGAGAGAAACACCAGAGAGAGACCAGAGAGAAAGACCAGAGAGAGAAACCAGAGAGAGAGCAGAAACAGAACAGAGAGGGAGCAGAGAGAGACCAGAGAAAGAGAGAAAGAGAGACGCCTGAGAGTGACCAGAGATAGATCAGAGTGGGAAACCAGAGAGACAGACCAGAGCGAAAGACCAGAGAGAGAGGCCAGAGAGAGAGAGACCAAAGCAAGACCAGAGAGAGAGATCAGAGACAGAACAGAGAGGGAGCAGAGAAGGAGCAGAGAGAGACCCAAGAGAGAGAGAGAGACACTAGAAAAAGACAAGAGAGTGAGAGACCAGAAAGAGCCTGGTGAGAGAGACCAGAGAGTGAGAGAACAGAGAGAAAAAGAGAGACACCTGAGAGTGACCAGAGAGAGATCAGAGTGGGAAACCAGAGAGAGAGACCTGAGAGAGAGACTAGAGAGAGAGACCAGAGAGAGAGACCAGAGCGAAAGACCAGAGACCGCCCAAATATGTCAATATGTCAGGTCCTTGTGTCTTTTTAGACTTCAACATGGTGCCGCCGTCTCCAACATGGCGCCGCCGTCTCCAACATGGCGCCGCCGTCTCCAACATGGCGCCGCCGTCTCTCACATGGTGCCGCCGTCTCTCACATGGCGCCGCCGTCTCTCACATGGCGCCGCCGTCTCTCACATGGCGCCGCTGTCTCTCACATGGCGCTGCTGTGTGGTATTCCGGCTCTCATCTGGTATTCCCGGCACCGGCCACATGTCTCCTGCCTGTGATCAGAGGTGAGCTGTGGGGATTTGTCATGTGACCAGAATGGAATGAATGATATCTTTGACAAGCGGTGACCTCTGCTGGTGCGGCAACGTCATCTGGCATTTTGATGATGGCGCGGCCGCGAACGTCTCCCTTGATGATATCCCAGAAGTCAATGGGGTCCGGGACGTGAAGGTCATCCGCCGCAGCAGGAAGTTCAATTTCGAGTTCTTTTGCACGAGAGAATACAGTCATTTACACACTGGCTTCTTTATGATGCTAAAGTTAGAGATTATCCATCCATCCATCCATTTTCTTCCCTTTAATCCATTTCTGGGTCAGGGGGGTGGCAGTCAGAGATGCCACCCAAGTCTCATAGCACCAGCCCCTCACTGACCCTCTGCAGGTGGTGAGTCCACAGGAGGATGGCTGCTCTCTGAGCGTGAGCATAGCCTTGATCTTTCAGTGGGGGCTTTGGGCAAAGTGGGGTTAAGTGTCTTGCCCAAGGACACAACGACAGCAGTCATCAGTGGGAGTCGGTGGAGAAGGTGCAGAGGTGGGAATTGAACCCACGACCTTCTGGCCTTAAGGCCAATGCTCTACCAACTGAGCTACTGTCGCCCCTAGTTAGAGATTATATTTTATAATTGTGTTCATCTTGTGCTGTGTGCTCCTCATTCCCACTATGTCTGAGTTTATTTTGCATGTTCTTTCCGTGTCTGTGCAGGTTTCCTCCGGGTGCTCTGGTTTCTCCTACCACTAAAAACCGAGGCCAGAGAAGGAGACCAGAGAAGGAGACCAGAGAGAGAGACCAGAGAAAGAGAGACCAGAGAGAGACCAGAGAAAGAGATCAGAGAGAGAGACCAGAGAGAGAGACCAGAGAGAGGCCGGAGAGAGAGATCAGAGAAAGAGACCAGAGAGAGAGGCCGGAGAGAGACCAGAGAGAGACCAGAGAAAGAGACCGGAGAGAGAGAGACCAGAGAAAGAGACCAGAGAGAGAGGCCAGAGAGAGACCAGAGAGAGACCAGAGAAAGAGACCGGAGAGAGAGAGACCAGAGAAAGAGACCAGAGAGAGGCCAGAGAGAGACCAGAGAGAGACCAGAGAAAGAGACCGGAGAGAGAGAGACCAGAGAAAGAGACCAGAGAGAGAGGCCGGAGAGAGACCAGAGAAAGAGACCGGAGAGAGAGACCAGAGCTAAAGATCAGAGAGAGGCCAGAGAGAGAGACCAGAGAGAGGGAGACCCTATTAAAACAAAATAAAAATGTGTAACATTAGCCACTATCTCACTATCAATCCCATACGTTTCACCATTATCAACTAAATTAACCGTAATCTGAAACGTATATAGATATCATTTGCTGGAAATCAATTCTCCGAAAACATCTTTAATGATTTATTCCCCGCAGTCGCCCGATTTACATTCATAGTTTTACATATTTAATTCCTCTCTCTGCTCCTATCATAACTACTGGGTTAATGCAGGACTCTATGCTTGTTAGAGGGTTGATTAAAAAACTTTCCCTCAAATTAATTCCAATTTCTTCAGTGCTGCCGGATCTCACCTGTTGCACGAGGAAAATCCAACGCGAAGCACCGCGGAATATTAATTGAGCGCGTACGTGGCGAAGCGAGAGAGTATTCCACGACTGCTTCGGATTTTATTATTACTGCCATCTCTTCTTCTGTTCCACCCATGTCACTTCTAGCATTTTTATTTTACTGCTGCGAGGATTTCAAATGGACACGTTTCCACCATCGCTGCATGCCTTTGTCAACAGCAGGGATCTCCAAGCTGTAGCTAGGTAGTGTAGGAGAAATTAAAATGACCTCTTTCCTCAATCAAAGACATTTTGTTGTATATTGAGACATATTATAACTTCTGTCTCCACTGAGTAAATCCTTGTGGTTCAGGTTTTATTGTGGGTAAGAATGTCTTAAGATAAGTGCCATGGCAACACCCTTCCCCCAACGACTCTACAAGATGTGAAGACTTACAAGGACCCACAGGGAAGACAAACCCGTCTGCTTTGGAACCACGGAGTGACCAGACCTCCCTGGGCTCTGCTCAGGCACCAAGGGGCCTTGGGCCTCTTAGATGGCCTCAAACCTCAGCTTCACGTTTGAGAGGACTTCTACAACCCTTCAATAGCCTCCAGCTTCAACCTGAAGAAGTTGCTGAGTTTTGGCACCTAGACTGTGGATCGTGGGAGGACTTGGTTCAGCCACATGATGCAGCCGCATGATTTGTGAAAGAATTCACTACCTTCAGATTCTATTGAAGAGAATTGGACTAATTAGCTAATTAAATAATGAAAGGACTCATGAGATTACTTAATCAATAAATGAGCCAATTAATTGATATTGTGACGTCATACGCACGTTATCAGTTGGGAGTTATTCCCTGGTGCCCCTAAATAAAGCTATTATCAATTATTGTATTTATTACATGGTTGTTTTTGATCCAATTCTCCGATATCAGGTACATAACTTAAGTTATGTGTGATATCGACATTTTCTCACCCTACAGTAGCCACCGGTAGCTCACCACCCCCTTCTAGGTAGCTCGCCAAAGGAGCTCCAATGTGCACCGAGAACACATACAGTACACCTTTAGCAGATGCTAGGATGCTATGCTAAATGTCTGTTATGTAGTTAATGTTTGGTCCACTCTATTTCACTTTTTTTTCTTAAAAAAATGAATGTCAGAAGCCAAACGTAAATGCAAACGAGTGATGGAACCAAAGAACCAAAGCCAGGAGCTAGTTTCATTCAATGACAAAACATAAGGTAGTATTTGTGGTAATCAACTGTTTTTAGCTTAATTTGAGCACATTCTGACTGTACAAGATTGCCATTAGTCTAATTTCAAAAACTGTTCCATGATTTTCTCATTCCAAGGCAGTCAAAACATGCACAAAAACGTGTTATTCATCACTTTTGGCAGCGTGTTCAGCAAGCTACCAGCCTTTCTACATATCAGACAAAAACGTTTTCGCCGTCTCAGATAAAAAACCAGCTCCATGGACCATACAGAGACAGATGCAAATTCACCAACGCGCGGAAAACCTCCTTCTGATTCCTCCGAGGTGTAATTTTGGGTAAATATCTTCATCTGCTGCTCTATACCATCTGGTTACCTGGGCCCAAAACATGTGCTCATTTGCATTTCCAATACATCATAAAAGGAGCCAGCGGACCCAGGCCCTTACATCCTTGTTATCAGCTCGCCGCATGTTCCCTTCTGCACGGCCAATACATCACATATTCCACTCCGCAAGACGTCACTGACCTACTTCAGACGGGGAAGTCAGGGCACTCTTCACTGCAGGGCCGCTACTGAAGCAGGAAGAGGTCGACAAGTTGAAAGAAATGGTATAAAAAGGAGTTTGAAAGCAACTTTTTGGTGATAGCTCTGGGTTTTGGTTCAGAGTGGATGTAATACGAATGGCAAATGTGTCCCGGAGTCCACGGTAAGTGTCAAAAATCTGGTTAATCGTCAAAATTCGGATAATTTCTTTAATCCCTAGGACAATCCATAGTAAACAAATCAGATATCACTACTATGGGCTATTTATTTTCTCATAAAGGTGTCTTGAAGTGGTGACAATAGCCAAAAAACACTACAGAGCCATTACTGAAGCCGGAAGAGGTTGAGCATTTTAAAGAAATGGTATAAAAAGTTTGAAAGCAGCTTTTTGGAGATAGTTCTGGCTATTGGTTCAGTGTGGCTTGCAATTTGAATGATAAATGCGTCCTAGTGTCTACAATAAGTGTCAAAAATCAGATTAAACGTCACAATTCAGAGATCTTTCTTCTAAACCAAGCAGGAAGAGATCGACAAGTTGAAAGAAAGGGTATAAAAAGGAGTTTGAAAGGGCCTTTTTGGCAATAATTCCGTTTTTTTGGTTCAGTGCGGCTTTGCAAGATGAATGAAAACAAAGATCGACCTTTCACAGGACAATCGTACATGTTGCGTTTATGAATTATCAAAACATTTAAAAAAGCTTGGGATAGTTTGGGATTGCGTAGGAAGCCAGCTGAAAGAGCAGTCAGAGTATTTAAGGTAGGTGTCAAAAGTCAGATTTCTGTTCCTAGTTCAGAGATTATTTCTCTAAGCAAAACAGTAAATATCAATTAATGGTCTGTGTTTTTTCTCATGACGGTGCCTAGAAGTGGTCACAATATCCAAAAAACATGACATACATTTACTGAAGAAGGGAGAGGTCAAGAAGTTGAAAGAAAGTGTGTTGCAAGGATATTGAATGGTTTTTGGGTCAATGTGCGACTGTCCTGTTGTCTACGGTAAGTGTCAAAAAACAGATTACTAATTTCTAATTCCTGGGACAGGATATGGAGCACTTTATCAATCCCCGTGGGGCAATTGATCCTCTGCATTTGACCCGTCCTGATGCCACTGACTGCTAATTTACACAAGACGCGTCACAGCACGTACGCGTTGTACGCGCAGCAGACGCGCGTAACTTTTTTCCATGTTAACCAATGGTGATATTTACACTGCTAGCGTTATACGCGCGTATGACGGACGTATGACACGAGGCTGCGCCTAAATTAGGAGTGATTTCTAATTTTGTGTGCGTACCAACGTGTCTCCCAGTAAAATCACATGTAAAACATGATTTCTCTAGCGGCCCTTGGCTTTAGATCACATCTACACACACAGCACTTGTGTCTAAACATCAGCAGGAGGAGCAGCAGGTTTTACAGCGATTCTGGATATCGTTTTTTTTTCTTTCATAAAGTCTTGCGTCTGGCTAAACCAGCGCACAGAGACCATGAAGACAAACATGCATGTGATTTGTGTTGCTCTACATCAGTCCTCTGGCCCGTACTGTCCTCTGCACTGCTGCATAGACTACACAGGGAGAGCATCAGAAGTCGTGGACCTGAGCACGGCCAAAATAATGATTCGCACAGATGCGCGCAGTCAACGCGTACGCGCTGTTAACGCCTACTGTGGAAATTCCCTGTAAGGCTTACATCAGAAGCATAGGTCGTCGTAGTAACAGCGCCC